AAATGAAATTATTAGTGACTTCCACCAATTCATTGGTATAATTTTCCTTAAAACTTACATGACTTCATGGCCACATGCTTTGGTTTCATTTTGAATGTGTATCCTAGATATTTGTCATCTTCAGATGATAGCTTTGGAGATGAGGAGCAACTGAACTTGTTTGGAATTTTTTATAAGTTCATTCTGTTAAATGCTTGCTTTCTGTTGTCTGGGTGTTATCTGTGTCGTCTTGCTTTTGTGCTCATCGAGCATTATTGATGTATTGGTAAAGTGTTGAAGTTGCAGGAACTATGATGCTGGCAAAAGTCGCAGCCAGGAGATCTCAGCACCAATTTTGTTTTTAAAAAATGACCACAGGCTCGGTTCAGTGGTAAAGATTTGGCCAGGTTTATTGTCTACCACCACAGTCCTAACATGTTGTGACCTAACAAGTACATCAGCTAAGGCATATAGGCCAGTCAGTCTCACCTCCATCCTAGGCAAAGTCTTTGAAAAAATTATCAAGCCTCACATTTGCAAGAGCCCGGCAGGAAAAATTATGCTGAGGGGAAACCAGCACGGGTTCGTAGCAGGTACATCATGCCTGACTAATCTAGTCTCTTTTTATGACCAGGTTACAAAACACCTGGACGCAGGAGTAGGGGTTGACGTCGTTTACTTAGACTTCAGGAAGGCCTTCGATACGGTATCCCACCCCATACTGGTGAACAAGTTAAGAGGCTGTGACTTGGATGACTACACAGTCCAGTGGGTGGCGAATTGGCTACAGGGTCGCACCCAGAGAGTCGTGGTGGATGGGTCGGTTTCGACCTGGAAGGGGGTGGGCAGTGGGGTCCCGCAGGGCTCGGTCCTTGGACCAATACTCTTCAATGTCTTCATCAGCAACTTGGACGAGGGAGTGAAGTGTACTCGGTCCAAGTTTGTGGATGACGCAAAACTGTGGGGAGAAGTGGGCGCACTGGAGGGCAGGGAACAGTTACAAGCAGACCTGGACAAGTTAGACATATGGGCGGAAAACAACAGAATGCAATTCCACAAGGAGAAATGCAAAGTGCTGCACCTAGGGAGGAAAAATGTCCAGCACACCTACTGCCTAGGAAATGACCTGCTTGGAGGCATGGAAGCGGAAAGGGATCTTGGAGTCCTAGTGGACTCCAAGATGAACATGAATCAGCAGTAGGCATCTGACGAAGCCATCAGAAAAGCCAATGGCACTTTATCATGCATCAGCAGATGCATGACGAAGTTTGCAGGCCAAGCCCTATGAGGAGAGACTAGGGCACCTGGATCTCTTCAGCCTCCGCAAGAGAAGGTTGAGAGGCGACCTTGTGGCTGCCTATAAGTTCATCACGGGGGCACAGAAGGGAATTGGTGAGGCTTTACTCACCAAGGCGCCCCTGGGGGTTACAAGAAGTAATGGTCATAAGCTAGCAGAGAGCAGATTTAGACTAGACATTAGGAAGAACTTCTTCACAGTTCGAGTGGCTAAAGTCTGGAATGGGCTCCCATGGGAGGTGGTGCTCTCCCCTACCCTGGGGGTCTTCAAGAGGAGGTTGGATATGCATCTAGCTGGGGTCATCCAGACCCAGCACTCCTTCCTGCCTATGCAGGGGGTCGGACTCGATGATCTATTGAGGTCCCTTCCGACCCTAACATCTATGAATTTGTACCTGTGACAAGGTAGTTGGTACAGCCCCACACAGGTTCCCCCAGGCCACTACAAAATTCCCCTGCTTTCCAGTTCTCTTTTTATACAATGGTCAGAACAAATTATGTATGCATGCTAGCTGTATCTTGAAAGTCTCAAGCCATCTTGTACTGTGGGCTTATTTCACATTCTGACCTGGGTGTTCCCATTCCAGACACATCATTCTGGTACTGGACCATCATCTCCCACTCCCATCTCTTGGTAGGAATGCACATCTGGCTCACATAACAAATTTTGTTTATGTGAGAAGTTCATACGTTGGTCAGGTTTGGTGACAAGGCCTATTCTGGCTAATGCTTTAGCAAAGCCTTTGTGTGAGCAGCATTGTCTTAGAATGAACTACTGGGTTCAGAAGATTCTCTGCGCTTGAACAAAGGACGTACTCACGGTTGTTCTCACTCTTGCAAAGCTTTATTTAAGAATACTTGCAGAGGCAGGCGATAGGACAGAGCAGAGAGACTCCCCGCCGCCTTGGGCCCCCAGCCGCTACTCTGCATAGTTCTCTTGGCTTCAGAGTGTCTCGATCTTGGGGTGTGATAGCTTGCACTGGGGCTCTGCGCAAGTCGAAACTTTTGTTAGAGCTGAGGAACTCATCATAACTCAAGAATGTACAGCTTATATAGTCTGGAGTAAATAACATCTCAAGCTAAGGATTTGGTTATCTCAAACTAAGAATTTGGGGATGAGTCATGATCTAACACACTTGTGTTTACTACATTCTACTGTATTACAACATTCTACTATCCAGGTTTATGGTTCGGTCATGCTCACAGAGCAGGAGGCTACGTGCTGTTTCGCCGGCCTACTGTGGAATCAGCATGCAGAACTCTTGCTCTTAGCATTAGCAAAGCTCTTACTATTACAAGCGTATATTGATCAATGCCCCAGCAAGGCCTTCACTTTCAAAGGGCTGGGGATATCTGTCTATACCATTGGTGGATTTACAAGTCCTGTCACCATATACTAAGATGGAAATAATATTTGAATTAAATATTTGCATTTTGGTCTTTGAATAGTAGATTTCAGTGATCAAATCTTGAAGCTGGTTAATATAATGCTGCCTTGCCAAATTTTATGACCTCTTATTTTCTTCTGATTATTCCCATAGGTTTGTATGTTACTGCCAAGGTAGGATGACTGTCCTCCTTTGTATTCTCTTAGCCTTCTAATAAAAATACTTCAGTTGTGAGTTGCTGAGCTTCTTAGTAACAGGTTTCTTTTCCATGCCAAATCAGTAAACGGTCTTCTGGCCTCTGCTTACATGTTGGTTGAGCTGTTACCAGGAGAGAACTCTTGTCAGTGTAATCTAAATCTTTTTGCAAACTATTTGTGCTATGTTAGAGCAGCTATGTTCTTGTTGCAGTAAAGCCAGTGGCACCACCTAATAGGGGAGGTGTCACCAGTATGCGAGTGAGCGAGGATTTTCTGAAATCTGTTTTTACTTAACTGTGCATGTTCTGTTGGTATGTACACCTTTGACAATGTTAATTATTTTGTTGACATTAGCACTTCAACACATTCCCATGTGAATAGCAATGAAAACCACCAAAAGCTTCTTTTAAAAATGATTAACTTTTTTAGTTTTCACTGTTTAGCTATCCAGTCATCTTGTTGATCATTCTCAGAATGAAAATCTACTTGATATGTAATCTACAGACTTGGAAGCAAGCCTGCTTGTCAGTTAGCTTTGCCTCAACTGTTTCCCCTTTATTCTGCTTAAGATAATGCTGCAGAAGACTGGCCAGTTACTTAGAAAAGTTCAGCACCTCACCAGTTGCTTAGATTCTTTTTCTTTCCTGTTTTGATATTGTCTGTTCCTGATCCCAAATTATGTTGAAAAATGTGGTAGCTTTTCTCATCAGTCTCATTGCAAGCTTTTTATAAGTCCCCAGCTTTTCATTAAATCAGAGCAGTGTTGGAAGTCAGGATTGAGAGCCCTTTCTTTGGTTTTGTGGCAGGAGGATCATTAAAGAAATGAAATTATTTTTCCTCGTAGAGGCTAAGGAAGCTGGGCTTATTTAGTCTAGAAAAGAGAAGACTGAGGGAGGATTTAATAGCAGCTTTCAGCTACGTGATGGGTGGTTTCAAAAAGGATGGAGCTGGACTGTTTTCAATGGTGGCAGATGACAAACAAGGAGCAATGGTCTCAAGTTGCAGAAAGGGAAATTTAGGTAGTGGTAGTTTTGTGGGAGTTTTTCTCATCAGTCTCCTCATCACAAGTTTTCTATAAGTCCCCAGCTTTTCATTAAATCATAGCAGTACTCATGAAGAGGGTAGTAAAGCACTGGAACAGGCTACCTAGAGTGGTTTTAGAATCTCCATCCTTGTCTAGGGCCTGGCTAGGCAAAGCCTTGGCTGGGATGATCCAGTTAGAGATGGTCCTGCTTTGAGCAGGGGGTTGGACTAAATTACCTCCTGAGGTCCCTTCCAACCCTAATTTTCTCTGATTTTTGTTGCAGTTGCAAGTGTATTTACAGCACCTAGATCCCCTAAAGATATCAGTACATAGACACTAGTATTGGGGACATTCTGGAATCTGGTGTGACTTTTTATGTTAAAAAGTCAGTAGGGAGACTTGTTGGCTTCAGAAGCTGCCTGTTGCCTTTCAAACTGAATTAATTGGGTGTCATGCATATCAATATGGGAATCAATGGTTTTATGATGAGAACTGTTTTCTTAAACATTTTTCATTTAGTGGGGAGAGTGACCTTTATGGAAGTTAAGGCCAGGAAGAGCTTCATAACCTGGGTAGATATTTGACACCTGGAGTTAGTTGGAATATTTTGTCTACTTTATTTGTTCCAGCTGTTTACTTTGTATTGCTACCTCTTTTTGGCTGACATGGCCAAAAGTAGCATCACAAAAGGCAGTATTGCTGGAAGGACTCCATTCATTTGGACAACACCAACCAGCCACACCTATAGCCAATTTAGGACTTTACCCTCTTTTTAAAATATTTTTACTACAGAGTTTTTCTCCCTGCACCATCTGCTGCTGCAGTCTCTTAGTGCTCCTCTGGTATATCAGCAGCTGCCTCCCAATGGCACTGCTGATGTTCTCTTTCTGTTCCTCCCTCAGAGACCAAAAGCATTTTAGCAAGGACTCTCCATGCTTTTGGCAGACAGTGAAGAACAAATTGCAAGTTCTCAGGCTACTTTGGGTCCCCTGTGAGCTAAACCGGATAGTGCCATCAACCCCAATTCTCAACCTGTGCTAAGCCCCCAGATCCCAGCTATACACCCCAGTATGAGTGACACACAGGCAATGAATTGTTCTCATCTCTCTCTCCCAGGTGGTGGCGAATGCTGTGGCTGCCTTGTCTGAGATCAGCGAGTCGCATCCTAATAGTAACCTGCTGGACCTGAACCCACAGAACATTAACAAATTGTTAACTGCTCTAAATGAATGCACTGAATGGGGCCAGATCTTCATTCTGGACTGTCTGTCCAACTATAACCCCCAGGATGATCGTGAGGCTCAAAGGTATGCTGGGTCATACCCTTCACATGCAGCTAATGGCCACATGTCTATGCTGCCTCTGTGTCACATCTGGTACCCCTGCTGAGAAGTATATCTTGGTTGCTCACCCCTTCTCAGCATGAGTCACATCCAAAAAGGAGGCGCAGGGTAGAAGATTTAGAGCAACCCTAACACACCTTGGCACCACTCTCAACTGCTCTTTCTTGAGCATGCTCCTTGTTGGATGCTCAGGGTTGTGCTAAGGCCTCATCTCTGATATTTAACTGGACCAGCACAAAACAAACCCAGTGTCCCATCTCTTTGAGGCTTTATGGGCAGGCTTGATAAAACAGGTTTTTACAGGCTTTGAATGGCAGAAATAGATTTCACATAAAGTACTTCAAAGGCATGGGTGATTGGTACTGCAGGCATCTGCTAGGAGCAAAGACTGGCCAATAGCACTTTACACAATACAAAAGTTTTAGTATTGTTCCTTAAAAGAAAAAATGATTTTTGCTTTGTTTTCCTAGTTTGCATGCCATGAAAGCCCTGGAAGGTGTTTTAAAAATAACTTATTTTTTATATTATGTCAGGTTTCTTATAAACCAGAAGTTCTTATGACTAGAAAACTAAGCTAACATTACAGGGCAGGAAATAAACCTGAGGAATGACAACTAGGAAGGGATCTTTGTGTTTAAAACTCTCTCTTTGGTTCATACCTGTAACTTAAATGCACAACAGAGAATAAAAGGAGTTTGTGCTAGATTCAGCACCATCGATTCTGGTTAAGATCACAGTTAACACTACTTGAAACCTGCCTTTTGGTTCTGTGGCAAACCATGGAAAGGTCAGGCTCTGTCCCTGATATTTGAAGGGTGGGAGGAAAAGGTTGGGGGAGAGCATAAAGTCAAAAAGCTACAATTTTTTCTTCTAAAAGTATTGAAAAAGGATGAAGGCCTGTGTTTTTAAAATTATGTGCAGGTCTCCTTTTGATGTGCTAGGTTTTGTTCAGTGGCTGTGTTTTTGCAGCAGAACAGCTAATTCCATCTTAAATTTTGCTGGTTTCTTCTTTATACCAGATGTTCTAATATCTCCTGTGCCTGGGCCCAAACTCAAGCTCTGAATTATCTCTAAAACCCCACAAAGATCTCCAAGACACTATGCCGGAGTTACCTTGGCTTCACCAGAATGGTGCTGTCGGTTTTAAATCCTTTGAAAGGCAGTGTTTGAAAACAGGTGGAATGTGTTTGTTGCACCTTTCTGTGAAGCTTGACCCTTGACTCCTTAGTTCAGAGTTGCTGGGTAGTCCTGACTTCTCGAATCCTGCCTGGTTTCTGATAGGATAATTCCTCTTTATACAGGTTTCCCTCGATTTATGTGGTACATGTGTTCCTGGAAAACTGTGCATAAATTGAATTTGCATAAAGGGAACCCAGTTTACAATGTAAGAAATAGGGATACATTCCCACAGCGGTGAGGGAGGAAGGGAGTAAGGCTGGGGGGGGATGGGACTAGGGAAGGAGCGGGGGGAAGGTTGTGGTGCAACCTGTCGGCTGCTCCTGGGGCTGCAGCAGGGAGCAAAGCAGAGGAAACTGAGTGGGCGTGGGATGCAGGGGGTGCGTGGCTTAGCTTTTGCTGCTACACACATCCCAGGAGGGCCGTGAGCTGGGGGGGGGCTGTGCCAGGCTCTTTCCAGGGGACACATGCCCCCAGATCTGTGAGCGGGACGAGGGCAGGCTGCTGCTCCAGGCTGGAGCTGGTGATGGCCCCATTTTCTTCTCAGTGCTCGCTGGTGGCGCTAGAAGGGCAGGTTGGGGGGGCTATGGCGAATTTTGGGGTAGCAGCAGCTCCCCTCCCAGCGCTGTCGAACTCCAGGAAGAGCCCGGTGCCGCTGCCGGCCCCCCCGTCCCATGCCCTGCACCCACTTACAGTTCCCTCTGCTTTACTCCCTGCTGCAGCCCCAGGCCTCTGCTTCTCCCCACTTGCCCACTGCTGCAGCCGCCCCAGGAGCAGCCAACACCAGCTGCCCCCAGCCGCGCGGG